GTTATAGGGTTTTCTTAAGGGTTCTAGGGGTTCTATAGGGTTTAGGGTGTGGAGGGTGGTTATACGTGGGGTTATAAGTAGGGTAACCTTTCGTTATAACCCATATTAGGGCACTTATAACCCCACTTATGACTACCCCTAAACCCTAAACCCTAAAACCCCTATAGAACCCTTTAAAGGAACCCTTAAAGGAACCCCATAACCCCACTTATGACTACGCATGAACCTCCAAGTAGCCTTCACCCTGTGCCCGGTGCGTCCGTGTTAAAATCATCTCGAGCTGACACTCCTCGCAAGTTCGCTGAGTTCAGGGCAGGGTTAGGGTTTAGGGTTTGGGCTTTGGGGTTTGGGGTTTAGGGTTTAGGGAAGTATCAGAAAACTGAAACCATAAAGCCTTAAAGCCCCGAGCGTCTCAACACCTTGAGCTGTAAACCCCGGACCCTAAGAGTCACTGCATGTAGTGCTTGCTCGAAGCTGCAGCACGTTGCTTGCGAGGCAAAAGATAAAGACAAGCAGCTTGGATGGATCAGTACCGGACACCCGTCACATTGTCTTACGGTTAAGCTTTTGGGGGATTTTAGGTTTTAGGGTTTTAGGGTTATAGGGTTTAGTTTCAGGGCCTAGGGTTTCGGGTTACTTACTAAAGGTCTAGGGTCTAGGTTTTTAGGGCTTCTATGGTCCTGAGCACCAAACCCTCCCTGAATACCAGCGCTTCGGTTCCCGAATAGAAGTTAGGACATCTGGCCTTCTCGGGGGTTTCGGGTTTAGGTTTCATGGTGTTCCCAGAGACTCCAATATCCCTTACTTAAGGAAGATACCTCATAAATCCTATTAGGGTTCCCAGTAGAATTGAAGGTATATTCCTTAAGTCTCTGGGTTGCTTTCGCATACAAGGTGTTAAAGGCTTTAGTGCTGGTTGTGGCTCTTCATGGTTTAGGAGTTTACGCGGTTCAAGAGTTCAAGGTTTAGGGGTGTTCACGTGTTCAACTTGTCGTCCTTATCAACCTACACCCCTCGACCCCCCCCCGGCCCCCTCAACCCTTACACCCCATGTCCATCTTGATTTATGCTGCGCAACCCCAAACCCCCCAAACCCTTTGATGACACCGTCTGAAGCCCATACAACCCCACACCGTCATCTTCCAACCAGCTCGTCCGAACTCTTTCGGAAGGTAGGTTCTTTGTCCAAACGGGCTTCGGTGACTGTTGGCCACACCCTAGTGCAAGAAGGGAGGGGGTTCTTCAGCTGATTGGACTGAAGAAGAACAGTCCGCAATACAGAAGCCGAAGTAGTTTTGTTTCGTTATTCCCTTAGAGTTCGCAGCATAGCAACCAATAACATATACCCCAAACCCTGTTCTTAGAAGTAAGGCCCTTCACTCGTCTCTTGCTGTAGCTTTCATCCGCTCTGCCATGATGCTTTGTTCGTGAGGTCTGATGCTTCGGGCGCGGTGCCCAGTGCTTACAGGCTCCTTGAAGGGATCTATAAGGGATTTAGAGTTTATGGTTCCAAGGGTCTAGGACTTTACTGAAAAGATCATGGGACATGGAGGATTCAGGTTTGAAAATCAGGCAAGTGCAGCTGTACTGGTTTATGACACCACTTAACTACCCATACCCCAATCACTAAGTCCCTTGATCCTCCAAGTAGGGTAGGGAACCCGAAACCTTCGCAGGGATTCAAGGTTGTTGGGGCAGTGCTTCTGCCGCCATACTTATTTTGAAGGGTGATGCAGAAGCGCCGAAGGCTTATAAGCCAGGTCCAGATCATTCCGAGCTCTCCTAGTGACAAAATCCTGGGGGTCGTCGGCAATGCCGAGGCAGGAAGCGACGGGTAGTGCGATGAAAGCTGATTCACGCACGACTATGTCGCAGTTTTTGAAGCGCAGATTCTGCAAGTAGCAAGCAGATCACTCTGGGCCGTGCGCAATATAGTCCTGAGCTCAAGTCTCTGGACCATAAACCGCAGACGCACGTTCGTGAAAATTCTGTGGCCAGGACATAGGGCCCTTTGAGGAGAACTGCGTGGTTTTATCTCCGGAGGGACCTATGACCATGCTCCCGGCATGGCCTGGTAACAAGGTGCAGGCTTTTTGTTGTGAGTTAGTGGCATGTTGTGAGGCATTGCAACTGGGGGTGTCAGGCGATATGGATGGCGACGAGAGTTGCAGCACCACGCTGCCGGAGTTGGTTGAGTTCTTGCACTTCACGAAGCCCTGGGTGGACCGGCGGAACTGGAAGGACCTGCGGCTGCAGCTGTTTCGTGATGTGGTTGATCTAGCTTCGTGACATACGTCCGTGGGATGCACGAGCATGAAGCTTTCGCGGCGGCAGGACATTGAACGCCAGGCCTTCATGGCTTGTGGCCGTCAGGCGTCGACCGCAGTGTCTTGGCTGCAACCCTTTCATGGTCAAGCCTTTGTCTCATAGCAGTCTGGCAACAACCCGGCCATCGTCGAGGCCTGGCTTTTGGCGGCTCACCCTGGCCCTGGACACGCCACCGCACGCCCGCGGCGCTGTCTCGAATATGAGCTCCGGGCCACCGACTATGCGCACGCGCAGCAGAAATTGTTGGTGAAGTGGTGGGGTGTGGCCCGGTGTGACGGCCATTCACACGGCCCTTCTGACGCAGGTCTTGGCCCACAAAGCAGCTGGGCACGCAAGCTTTTTTCCGGTAACGCTGTGAGATGTAGCAGGGACAGAAGTGATTGTTGCGGCTGTGGCTACAGTGCTCCAGCTAATGAAGCAAATGAGGTCACAGATTGTCCGAAGCTCTACCCCGTGGTGGGCTACCTGGCTCATTGCAAGGACATGTGCAAGGAGCTTGGGGTGCCAGAGAACAGTGACGTGTCACTCGTGTACGTGAGGGCCCAGGGGCTTGAGTGCTGCATTGTGCTATTGCACAGCAAATCTGTCGCAGGAGAGAGTAGATAAACTCCGTCTTTCAGTCCCGTGAGCCCGCCGGCCAGTCGCCCTGCCTCGGTGTATGCTCGCCTTTGCGATGGTGGTGACAGGCACTCCAGGCGCAAAAAAAATCGAGGAGTGCACCTTCATGCCGTGCTTCGCGGCCTGAGCGGGCATCAACTCCATCAGCATGTGTGCCGAGGAGGGACGCCGCTTACCACCTCGGGGTCTAGAGCGCCTACTGCTGCCGCGACGCAGCCTCGACTTCAGGTTCGTTTCAATTGGGGTGGGAAGCTCATGATGTCGGGATTACACAATCTAGTGAAGCTGCAGAAGGTCCGCATTAGGATTGAGACCGGGAACCAGAAAATATATGGGGGACTCTGAATAGTACTTAAAAATTCGATTTGGGTTTTGGCATCTAAACATCTATACATCCATACTATACATACATCTATACATCCATACATACATCCATACATACCTACATACAGACATGCACACACACACACATACACGCATACATACATACATACATGCATGCATGCATGCATGCATGCATACATACATACATACATGCATACATGCATATAAACACACATATAAATATAACTATAAATATAAGTATAAATACAGGTATAAAAGAAAATATAAGCATAAATCCAAGTAGAAATGGAAATATAAGTATAAATACAAATAAAAGTATAGATACGAATATAGATATAAATATAGGAATACATATTGATACTTATACTTATATTTCTATTTCTTAAACATATTTAGTTATTTAGTTAGTTAGTTTGTTTGTTTGTTATGTGTTTGTTTGTGTACTTGTTTTTTACTTGTTTGTTTATTTGTTGGTTTACTTTTGTAGCTATTTCTGTATAGAGATATATATTCATATACATACACATACACATACACATACATCTACATCTACATCTACATTTACATCTACATCTACATCTACATATACATATACATATACATATACATATACATATACATATACATATACATATACATATACATGCACATGCACATGCACATGCACATGCACATATACATATACATATACATATACATATACATATACATATACATCTACATATGCATATATGAATACAGCGTGCATGCATATCTACATGTGTATGTTTTTATGTCTTTCTGTATGTATGTCTGTATGTTCGTTTGTCTGTCTGTATGTATGTATGTACGCATGTCTACATGTTTACAAATGTATTTGTACATAAAAATGTATATATATGTATATGTATATATATATATAATTACATATGCTTATAGATGCTTGTGACGTGCATGCGATCAGGGTGTGTATGCTGAAGCTGTTTTCATGTCGGAGTAAAGCAACCCCGCACCCTAACAACCCTAGGGCTTACAAGCTTCATGAGCAGCCTAAGCGAAGGCACGTGGGACACCTGGAAGGTTGCGAGTTTAGGGTTTGCGGGAACGTGGCTCGCCAAGGTCTGAGCACTTTTGCAACGAAGGAGGCAGTCCCTTCTAATTTCAGTGGCCCTGAACCCTAAACCCTAAACCGCCCTAAGCCCCTAAAGCCTAGACCGTTTGTTTTTTGATTTTTGTCATCCACCCTTGTGGCAGCTCTTGCAACTACAGCATTCCGGCCATTTCACTGCGACCCGAAGCTCTAAACCCACATGCCCCAAACCCTACGAAACCCCAAGCCCGGATAGAGCAAATCCAACCCTAAGTAAGCCCACACACGTGTTTAAAACGACGAAACTTTCGCCTTTGTCAGCCCTGATACCTTTGCCTTGCTTCTTTGGGCTGGAACCGCTCGCCATTTCCAGGAGTGCTGTAGGTCTGCGTGGTGGTTAGAGCCGCCGGAAGTAAAGCTACAAAGACTGCAAACAAGTCAAGCCAATACGCATGGCAGGTGCAGTTCGAGCGTAGTTTTATTTTCTCAAGCCAACCAAGTTCTGGCAAATACAGCATCAGGCTTCCTTCAGGGTCGAACAGGAATCTTTCAACTTAGTGGACGACCGCCCTTGGGGAAGCCGCCAACATCCCTTTTTGCTCCTCAGTGGCACAAAGTTGGGTGCTGTGGTAGTCATCTGGGCGGTAGAGGGTTTAGCTGGCTTTGGGTCGGTGTAGGGTTCCGCGTTTTGCGTTGTAAATAAAAAGATGCGAGAGTCAATCCGAGGAGAAGTGGTGGCTGCCTGAGGAGCTTTTCGCCCCTCGCCTGGCCGTTTGCGTCCATTCAACCTCGATGCAGAAATCCGTCCTTTTCGAAGCGGCATTGCGAGATTCAAAGTAGCACGTCGTCGTCGTCGCCATAGTAGCAGTATGCTCGTATTAGAGCAGAAGCCCAAAGCGGCAAAGGGACAGCTGCCGTCTACCATGGTTGTTCGAGCCTGTTGCCGCCGTCTAACCTTTACCCTGTCAAAGTCTGCTTGACGTCGTGTGGTTGCTTCTATTGAAGAGTTTAAGTTTTCGGATTTGCGGTTAACGATTTAGGCTTGAGTTTTCAGGGCTTAGGGTTCTAGTACTGTACCAATCCCCTAAAGCAAAGACAGATACGGAGCGCCTTAGTGTTCTCTGGGGGACCCCATAGGAAGCTTAGAGACCGGAGCTCAGGTAGCCATGAGCTTCCGCACGATGAACTGCCGCACAGACACTACCCATGGCGATCGGGCTGCAGAGAGAATGAGTTTAGGGTTTAGGGGTTCTGAGTTTTTGGGTGTGCCTGGAACCCTACACCCTAAACTCGACTTTTCCTTTCTCCTCCTTGCGACATTATCTACGCAGAGTGTCGGTTTTTTGGAAGTGAAGGTCTGCAGCATTGAGACGCACTGGTCGCAAATGGGGTTTCCGAAAATAGGGGACCCTAATATAGTACCATAAATAGTAGGATCCTTATTAAGAAGGACCTTAAAATAGGGAACCCCCAATTTTCGGAAACTCCCATTTATTGATGGGGCACTCCGAGTCGAATTTTTGTTACAGAAGAGTTCTTAATGTACAGCTTGACGGTAGCCTCGAGTGTGCTTCTGTGCTTTGAGGCCTTGCCTGTTGGCAGCATGATTATTGCACTTGTCTCGGCAACTTGTTGTGGCTTATATTCTTACCTGTGCTCTTTAGGGTTCAAGGTCTTGTGTGAAAACCGCATCGTAGAGTACTGTTTGGCTCAGGGGTTATTCTTGGCAAGGATGTTCGGTGTTCACTTTCGTACTCACTCAGCATTACTGCCGAGAGGCTACTTTCGGGTTTTTTCTCGTGTAAGTCCGAGCATGGAGGCCAAGACGTCTTCTGAGTGCAGAGGTCTCGTCTCGTTGTTCCCGAGTGAGTCAAACTATGGGCCCTACGAAAGGTCATAGGTCGGAAGGGAGTTTGGAACTCCTCCAAGTCAGGGGGGGTTTATCACTTCGGCGGCTCAGGCAACCCAGCCATCGGCCGTCGTGAACACATGAGGCTCCGGCGGAGATCACCAAGGATGTGGGATGTTTTCTGGGGGTGTCATCTTTTTTGTAGCCTGGGTCTCCTCAAGGGCCAAATCGATTAGTAGTCGAAGATGCTTGAAGATCTGGGGCGCGAAATTTCGGAGGTCCTGCCAAGCCCTGACAGCCCCAAACGATGAAAGCCTAATCATCCAAGGGGCTTACGTTCTAGGCCCTTGCCGACCTAGCGGGGCGCCCTTGACGCCAGCATCTTTGCATACCGTGTTCCTTGAGCCCATACCCGAGGCCCTAAACCCAATATACCCCTATCCTAAACCTCAAAAACCTCTTCAGGGTTTAGGCCGGGCTTTAGGTAGGTCGGCTTTATTCGCTTGACATACTGAAAGTAAAAGCCCTGTCTTGGGCCAGGGACCCAGGGAACTTAGCAACTCTGGCCATGATTCGTGGGACCTGGGCTGTTTAGGGTTTAGGGCTTAAGGGCTTAGGGGCTTAGGGTTTAGGGTTTAGGGGTTTAGGGCTTAGGGGCTTAGGGTTTAGGGGTTTAGGGCTTAAGGGCTTAAGGGCTTAGGGTTTAGGGTTTAGGGGTTGAGGTAGCTGTCAGTGGTGAAAAATCTCACCAGGGGTGGTCCCTAAATTGGGTAGATCCAAGGCCCTACGCCTTACTTAGGGGCTGAGTAGGTAAAAATTTAACCTCTTGGGGCTCTTACATAAACCTACTATAAATTCAAAAAAGGTTAACCTTTTTTTGGGGCGCAGGTACTCGGCCCCTAAGGTATAATGGGCCCCAAAACTCTACTCAACCCTAATCCCTAAACCCTAACCCTAACCTTTTTTGGGCTAAGGTACTCGGCCCCTAAGTTATTCTACACGTGTGTTGCTTGTCATGTGCCGATGTCTTTAGGATTCTGGGCTCAGGGCTGCGAGTGCTTACAGGGCCTTTGAGCCTTTGGGGGTTGAAGGCGTCAGCCACGTTCTTAGCATGACGATGATTACTGCTGCTTTTTGGTGTTGGTGGTGTGGTGGTGGTGGTGTTGGTGTTGCTGTTGCTGTTGTATTGTTGCTGTGGTTAGTAGTAACAGTATTGAACTATCAAAACTAGATGGGCTTCAGTCTTCTTCTTTTGTTTCTAGTCTTCACCATTCCAAGAAGAGCCCCCTGCATTGGGATTTCTAGGAGACCTAAAGTTCCCGAAGGGCCTGAAAACCCTAAAAACCCCAAAGCCCTAAAAACCCTAAAAACCCCAAAACCCTAAAAACCCTAAACCCTAAATCCTAAACCTGCCAAAAAGCCTTCGACGGCTTCAGGCTCCACCTGATGCATCGCGAGCGCCTGCAGCGACTTGACACTGAAACCTTCGGGGCCTTTTGGCCTTCAGGGATGTAGGATTTCAGATTTAGGGGTTTCGGGGTGGGTTTCGATTCAGGGATGTAGGATCTCAGATAATATGCAGCAAAATCTGCGGTCTCCGTCCTCACAACAAAGTAGCAGGCTCGCAGTGTTTTCGGTTTTAGGGCTCGGGGCTTTAGAGGTTTGGGGCTTTGGAGTTTGGGGTTTCGGCTTTAGGGCACATAGGGCTTAGAGAACATCCAGGCCCTAGGGTTTAGGGCCTGCGAAGGGGGACGCTTCAGCCCGAAACCGAAGCCTGTAAAGCCCAAGCCCCTAATATAGAGCAGGGGCCCTAATGATTCCCTTTGCGGTTTTGGGTGGATCCTTCTTATAATTATCATATCATATACCCTAAAACCCTATTCTAATCATTAGGGCCCCAAGCCTCCAAACCACTCCGAAGTGAAGCCCGGGCAAACTCCGAAGGCCGTGGGTACAGTTTTGGGAGCCAAGAGCAGGAATAGAGTGTAGTTTGGGGGTCGGAGTAGGGCTTAGGGTTTAGGGTTTAGGGGGGCCCTTTTTATAAGCCCCTCTATAACTTAGGTGCTGGGTAGGTGACCTTTAGCCTTTTGGGGCTTATATAAACCTATTATAATTCAAAAGGTTAACCTTTTTTGGGCTAAGGTACTCGGCCCCTAAGATATCTATATAGTAGGCTCTACCCCCAAACGTCCCTACAGTCCCTCTATCATATTGTAGATTCTACCCTAACACCCCCCCCCCCATACTGCTCCTCAGGAACATGCGCTCTGCCCTGGATACCCGCGCGCCAGCAACTTCGTCGATTACAGGGTTCATGCTTTGCTTGTTATAGGATTATAGGGCTTGCAGGGTTTACACGTAGGGTGCCTTTCGTTAAACCTTGCAAAAAACGGATGTTAGGGCTGCTCTTAAAGGATCCAAAGCCACCGAACGAGACCATATCCGAACTGTCCGCTCCTTTGAGAATGGGGTTTTGTGTCGGTTCTGAACATGTTCGACGCCCTGGCCTTGCTTCATGCCAGTCTGGAGACCCCAAGTGATACGGTTGATGATATAAATCCTGCAGTACCCATAAGAAGGAATATGATAATTGCCATAGTTTCGGGTCCTTAAGGTACTGCTGGATTTATATCATCAACCGTATGATCCCCTATTAATAACTAGGAATAAAGACTCAGGGTTTCTTAATCAGGTTCCTAAGTTTCAGTAGCCTTTGGAGCAAGTTCCTCCGCTCAGACACCTCAGCCTCACCTGCAGCTCTATGGCCGTGACTATGCCGGGAGCTGAAGCGGCGGAAGTCTTGATTTGTGTTTTGTTTTTTTTTTTGGGGGGGGCTTCGTCTTTTGGGGCAAATCCTCAGGGTTTATGTTGGGCTCCCTAGTTTCTGAAGGGCGGACTTGAGTAGCTGGCAAAGGGGCATTACTCTTTAGTCTCGATGCCTCAAGAAATAGGTAGACGGGGTCTTCACAGGGTTAATACGGGTGTTACAAGCTTGGGGGCTGAGTAGGTAACCTTTAACCTTTGGGGGCTTATATAAACTTATTATAATTCAATAGGTTAACCTTTTTTGGGCTAAGGTACTCGGCCCCTAAGTAAGGGATGCTGCAGGGTTTGCTGTATCGGTTCTAGCTGCCTGCGACTCATCTGTTAACTAGAGATCCTCGGCCCCGAATCACCGTGAGACTCGCACTGCAAAGAACGGTAGATTTCGAAGAATCACGGATCTTTTGGGGTTCAGGGGTCTAGGGTCGCAGCCCAAAGACCTGAAACCTAAAACCCTAAAACCCAAGCCTACACCAAATCCACCCCCGATCTGCCCCAGAAACGAGGTGGCGAAGAAGCGAGCCACCACCGAAGCGGCGTTTAGCTACTCGCCGATGTCATTGCTTTGGAGTGGGGGGGGGGGGGTGGGGGATAGTGAAACATTGAATTGAGCGTCTTGGTTTTACATTTTAGGAGTTTGGGACCCTGAACCCTAAACCCTGAACCCTCAACCACCCGACCGAAGACTTAGGCCTTGCAGCTTCCGACGTCTTCTGTTCACTTGTATTTTTGTTGTGGGGATCTGCTTCCCAGAGAGCCCAATACCCTTCAATTAAGGAATATACCTTAAACCATAATATTAAGGCGGGTATAATTTAAGGTATATTCCTTAATTTAGGGGTATTGGGCTCTCTGGGTTCGTTGCTCCACGGGACCACCTCGTTACATCGGCCCCTTGTAGTCCCTCCATGGGTACACTATAACTATAACCGAAAATTCGATTACGAGGTCCCTGAGTATTACCCTTTTTGCCCTTTTTTATTTTAGGGCCCCCCTACTCAAACCGAATAGTAGGAAAAAGGGTACCCTTATTATAAAGGGGCTACTCAGGAACCAAGATTCCAGGTAACCAGCCCCTACAAGCTAAGAGAGATGATTGTTCAAAGGATTGGTGCAGGCTGAGGGCGAGGAATGCTTCTGTAGCTCGGGGCCAGCGGAGCACCAAGTAACGGTTTAGGGTTTAGTGTTCAGGGTTTAAGGTTGAGGGTTTAGGGTACATCTTCAAGGTCGCTTTAGACGGTGGGTGGTTCAACCCCAACCCCAAACTCCTCAACTCCAGAGCTCTAAACCCTCTAAACCCTCGACCTCTAAATCCCCAAGCTAAGCCGTAAGCCCACTACCGCAGAGTCATGAATTTTTTGAGTCTGCCCTAAACCCCAAAACACGTAGGGGCTGAGTAGGTAACCTTTAACCTTTTGGGGCTTATATAAACCTATTATACTTCAAAAGGAATCTCTGAGTCTGTGTCGCACCCTAAAACACAAGAAACCCTAGAGGCTTGAAGCAGCTGGAGCTCCGGGTTTAGGGTTTTAGTGGTTCCGGGTTTAGGGGTTTGGGACTTTAGGGTTTTAGGGCTTTAGGGGTTTCGAGGTTCGGGCTTTTGGGTCTTGCGGTTAGTCTTGTGGACTTGGGCGGGGGTTCGCCTAAAACCCTCGCGGTATCCGCTCGCGGAGAGAGCTTCAGGTGACCTGAAGATGATCCAGTCCATTGCGAAGCCTCCTGGCCATCTTCGAGGTGTAGGATATGGGTAGTTCTCTAAATTAGCGTCCCTTTTTTGGGTCCCCAACATAGTACGGCACCCGTATAAAAAGGACCCTAAAAGCGACCCTAATTTAGAAAACTACCCATATAACAGCCTGGGGCACAGTGCCGTAACACTACGCAAAGCCCTCCCAGCAATCTCCCGGCCGCGCAAGCTAGACCAGCCTCGTTCGAAGATTTCAGCCTTAAAATCGTAGTCGTCGGAGTAATTTAGGGCTTAAATACTTACCAACACTGTTTGGGGGTGGTGGGGGGGGGGTCCTTACTATACTTATAGTGACATCCTCCAAAACCCGATTCTAATTATCGTAGGGTTTCTGGGACTCTACACCCCGAGCATTGCACCGTCTGCTTGGCTCGGGCACCCAGGATCATGACTCGAGACAGCAAGATCGAAGACAGGACTTTGAGTGTGGGGGTTTAGGATTTAGGGTAAAAAATTGGGGGTTTAGGCTTATTAGGGTTATTCGGATTTAGGGTTTAGAGTAAGACGAAATCCTTGATAAGGTTTCTTATGAGGGTTCCTATGGGAGGCTGCTTAGAGTCACACGAAAAAGAGACGAGGGCTCGAAGGGTTCCTTTAAAGGGCTCTTTGGAGTGAGGTGTGCCGAATTCCGGGGTCCTTGTAGAGACGTTAGCCATCTTCATCATCATCCTGTTCACCGTAGCTATAGTTTTTTCTGGAGGCCCCAGAAGTTCAGGGTTTGTGTTCCTGGCCGGGTTTTTCCTGACCTGCCAGCCGGTAGAGGTGACCTCGATTGTAAATACCGCTGTGGAATCCGTTAGCACCTTGCAGATGACCCAAACCTGGAACAACACGCTTTTGACTGGGTTCTTGTTAAGGGTTTAATTTAAGTTACCATAATAGGGATCTGTAGCACATCATATGGTTTCCGAATTATAGCAACACTAAATCCCTTAAGAAGAACCCGGTTGACCCTAACCTTGAATCCCAAGCCCTGAAACCCTGAATCCTCAGGAGCTTGACAGGCCCTGAGTCTCCAGCACTGAAAGCCCCAAACCCCCCAGCCGCCTGAACCCTGTAACCTAGTTTAGGGTTTAACCCTTGAAGGAACCCTTGAAGAGTCCTTGTACTTCCTTTAGAGGACTCATGGTTTTAGGGTTTAGGGTTTTAAGCCCTCGCTCACCCCTGAACCCGAAACCGCCTGTTTTTGAAGCCTCTCGCAGGAAGGGGCCTGTGAGCCTGAATGCAGATCGGCGCAAGCAGGAGCTGCAGGTTTATAGGGCATCGGAGCTTTTGGGGCTTTGGGGTTTAGGGTTTAAGGGTTTAGGGTTTAGCGTTTAGGATTGGGGTGTTTAGGATTTATTTGGATTTTTAGGGTTTAGGATATAGTAAATTTAGTAGGGTTTAGGGTTCTTAGGGTTTAGGGCTGTTGGGGTTTAGGGTTCAACCCTAAACCCTAAACCCCCTAAGCCTTAGGTTCAGGGTTTCAGGGTGTTTGTGGCTTCGGACGTTTAGGCCCTCGGATCTGGCAACGCCCTCCCAAAGCAGAAACCCCAAACCATCCAGGAGCTCTACGACATCAGGAACCCTAAGCCCAAACCCCTGAACCCTAAACCCTGGCCCACCTAAACCCCAAAACCCGAGACCAAAAGATAGAAGCTCCTAAGTCGAACACCATTTGAGAAGATCTACGACATCATGAACTTTAAAAAGCCCTCAACCCCAAACCCCTCACAGGTTATCTGCAACATCATGAGCCTTAAAAGCCCTAGACCCCTAATCCTTAACAGGAGATCTACGACATCATGAAGGGCAACCACCAGCTGCTGAGGCGCATCGAGACCTGCGAGCCGATGTTGAGGAGCCCAGAAAGAAGTTTCCGAAGACTCGGGTTGAATTGCTAAAGTGCTTCAGAGTTCGTTTAGGGTTTAGGGTAAGGACTCGGGGTTTAATTGCTAAAGTGCTTCAGAGTTCGTTTAGGGTTTAGGGCTTTGCTCCCCAATACCATGCCTTTTAGGCTTTTTGGGGTCTTATACCTGAGTGGTAGTCTGAAAGTCTAACCTTTCATTGCCCTGGCTCCTTGGGGAGGTCAGAGAAAGCGACTCAGAGGTTTCCGTTTATGATTCCAGCATAGATGCCTCGGTTTAGGCTTTAGGGCTTTAGGGTGCAGGTTTTTGGGGGTTAGAGCAGGACCGACCTCCAGGAGAGCAACAGCAGACCACGAGAAGAGACCAGGAGAGCACCAAGATTCCAGCAGCCACCGGGAGACCCCCAGAGAGACAAAATTGGGTAGTTCTCTAAACTAGGGTCCCTGTTTTTCGTCCCCAATATAGTTCGGCACCCTTATAATTTATAAGGAATACTTAAAGGGACAGTGAGTTAGAGAACTACCCAATGGATCTGGCTTTCCAGGTTCTTGACGGGGGCCCGACGGATTCTGTGCCGATAGTGGCAGATCTCAAAATCTGCACCCCACCCGCAGCGAGCGCGTCCTGCGGAACGCTTTTCCTTGCACGCTCGAAAGGACTTTTGCATGGTTCCGAGGTGTTTGTGAAGAAGTGTAACCCCAAACCCTAAACCCTACACCGTGGCGCTATCTGTGGTCCCTGTTAGGGTTCAGGGTTCATACTTTCAGGGGGTTGTTTTGTAGGATACTAAGGCTTCTCTAAATGGAGTTTAGGGCCTTTGCGTTTGGGGGCGTGGTGGCTTGGTGTTTGTGTTCGTACACAAGTGGGTAGTTCCCTAAATAGGGTTCCTTTAAGATCCCCAATATAGCACGGCACCCCTTATAAAAAGGACCCTTAAAGGGACCCTAGTTTAGAGAATTACCTTCATGCACAAGTTGAGTCAGGATGACTTTCCCATGTAAGGTTCTAAGCGAGGTTGGAGTTTCAGGTGGCCGGGTCTGAGTGTGCAGCTGCTTGCGCTTATACATGCTTATACTGAAGGTTTAAGGATTTCTAGGGTTTTGGGCTTTAAGGGTTTAGGGCTTTAGGGTTTAGGGGTTTAAGGGGGTTTGGCGCTTAGATCAGGGTGGCTCTGGATTTCTAAACTCTGAGCATCTCCCAAACCTAAGCCCCCTTCAGCCTTGAGCCCAACCTTGAAGCCTTGCTTGCAGGGTTTAGGGGTTTAGGGGTTTAGGGTTTAGGGGTTTAGGGGTTTTGGGGGTTTAAAGGTTTAGGGGTTTAACGGTTTAGGGG